ACTGCTAGCTTCCGGAAGATCCTACGGTACTCCAGTATCTTCCTGTCCTGCTCCTAACACAAGCTGAAATTCCTGTTCCAGCATTTCAGGAAACAGATGTTTATGACATATACCGGGCACGATCCAAAGGAGACAAGCTGTTCTGGAAACATGGAAGCCACAATGATTAGGTTTGGGTACAGGCTGGTAGGGAGGAGATGTATGGTGCACTAAGAGGACGCCTGCCAGGGAAACTTGTAGGACTCTTCAAACTCCAAGACTACACACATGGTGATAGGGTTTACCAACTCGCTTGTGTCCAACTATGAAATGTAGTTTACTCGGAACACCCATCTGAGTTTCATGATCTCATCAACATACAGCTGAAGCAGGGTGCCCAAAGATTTGCCATGCTAGATATTGGTACCATTAGTGGCTTGGCGTACTTGATCTAGGACGCAGAATAGTGCTGGCTTGCTAATTGTCCGATCCAGTTACGCACATTCAACAAAATATATTAAATGATTTGGCAAATCGCTCAGCCAGTATTCGATCCCACAGGAAGCACCATGTTGTGCTGGGCCAAACCTGGTCTTTGGATCCTGTTCTCATAGTATGGGCATGGGGCTGGGACAGCTAGCAATTAATAGCATTCAACATATAGGACTTAGAGGCTTATGGCAAGAGAAGGGCAAGAAGGAGGGGTATGGTGAGGATATCACATAATGGGAAGCTCTTGGAGTTGTAACCCTCCGTAGATAGCATAATATAGATAGATTCGGAAGTCATGAAATGGAAATAAATTTGAATGAGATCTGATATTGACAGTAGGAATAAAGTAGTGGCAAATGAAAGCCTACATGAGATACGGAGTCCTGAAATCGGTAGGACCCAATTCTAAAAGTAGAGGTATGATGTCAGGAGTTCCCAGTGAGGTGGAAGCTCCCAGGAGAGATGTGGACCAAGTCCAGATGCCAGAGGATAGGACGATGTGAACCAGACAGTGGGATGCTGTGTATCAAAACATGGTATCGCTGCCCTGAGATGATCAGATAGGCTGAAAACGTTACAACAGGACAGAGCAAGAAGGTGTGGATCCGGGCATCCAGAATAGAATAAAATGGAGGAGGTGAGTGGTGACGGCATCAGGATGGCCAGATGTGGGAGGCGTTGCATATGACAGAATAAACTGGAGATCAAAATAGAGAACACAGCCGATATGGCTGGCCCTTGTAACACAAGAGCAGACGCACAAGACACAGGAGACGCATGGGAAAAGCACCGTGCATCCAGACATGGTGCCCGCATGTCTGACACAGGATTTAATTTCACTGATGAGTATAAACTACAACAACTGATAACTTTGGAATAAACATAGTCTACCACATATGAGTTATAATTTGGAGGTAGAGGCAGGAGTATGGAAACATATTAGATTAAACAGACAAGCTTGAAACAAGTGTGTCAAAACAATCAGGATACAGAAATCAGAGAATACTGACCAGTCACATTTGGGCTGTAATGTTGTTGATTAGACAAGTCAGTTTGTTTTCCTAATGTAATGTACCCAATCCGGAAGCGTACTAATATGCCAAAGGAGGCAGCACATTGCAGGGGTGCAACAACTATCTATTATCTACAAAAAGGCAACACAAATTGTGATAAAAGATATTAGTAAACATAACAATAGGAAGAGTAAAAGCAAGAAAGGAAGACCTTTTAGAAAAGAGGATCCAAGATGCAATTCAAGCATTTCAGAAAAGCAATTACATATCAATAATAGCAACAGCTCCAGTGTTTCACCTCCTGAGATCAACTCTTGGATATTGAATTAAAGGCAAACATGTCTCCCGACAGGTACCATACATAGAACCACAACTTGAACTCCTGACTTCAGCAGAGGAGGAGGTGATTGTGTACTGGATCAAGAAGCTTGACAATATGAGTTTTACTCTAAGGCTAGATATAGTAAAGGGAATGGCTAAGATGTTGGTCCGAAAGAAAAAGAAGAAAGTAATCGCTACAGGAGTTAGAAAGAATTAGTTAAACTGATGTTTAAATTATAACCATAATATGGCCTCCTAATATAGCAGTTTACTGAAATGTCAACTAGCTTATACAAACAATTCCAATAAGATCAAAGACTATTTTAGTAAATTCAACTACCTTTACATAGTTTATAATCTCCAACCTCAATATATATACAATCTCAACAAGAAGAAATTTATGATGCAGATATCAGCAAAGACAAAAGTAATTACATGTATAGGAAGATGAAATCCCAGAGTTACTCATTATGGTAAAAGGGAGCTCATTACTAACTCAGAAACAATTTGTAGTGATAGTAGTTTTATATCTACTTTTTATATTTTTATAGCAAAAGCAGGATACAGTATGGAGTTGTATAAAGTCTTGATAACCTTAATATATTATTAGCTTATTCTGATAAGGAGTGAGCAGATAAATCTCATTGATATGAGTTTATTTCATGAGATTTTATTAATTTTGCAAACTCTCCGAAAATACCTAGCTGAAAGCAGCTTCTAATTCTAAATAGATACTCCTCTTAACTTGATACAAATTTCTGCATGTTTTGTTAGATTATAATATTCTTTTGCTATGTCTTTCTGCTCATTCTACTCATTTACTTCAGCTCTTAGATGTTGCTTTCTTTAGCCTGCACCAGCATTTATATAAACTTGTCATGGATGATTTTTGTTGCTACCAAGGAGGAGGTATATACAATGGTACTTTTTGTTCATTATAGAAAAAGGCACAGAAGGAGGTCCTGACAATGGATAATAAACCAAGCTGGATTTTGTTCTTGTAGACTTATTTCTTACAATTCAAAGGAGGTCCTTAATCATTTACAATTTTCAACTACTTTACTTCATACCATACTGTTCCACATATCTGGTATCACCTCCTACCTACAAACACCTCACAAGGATATGGATTACTGGAGGGAAACTAGTAAAGTTCTTGTACAGGTTGGCTAGGTTTCCAATACGGAGTTAACAAAACTGATATAATATTTGAAGAAACTTGGTGCTATAGTCCAAGTAAGCTTAAATATTGGAGAGAAGGTACCTAAACTTAACTGGTAAAAGACTATTAGCATTATGTAGAAAGTCAATAAACGTTAACTTATAACTGTACAGGTTATTGATAGAACAGAGGCTCTACATTTATATCAAATTCGAGAAAAACAAGATCTTGCTTGTCCTACTCATAAAGCCAATTTGAGCCTCTAGTAGACAAAAACTACTTCTGTCACACCATTCTGAATCATATAACAGTACACCTACGTCCTGTAAGCTTTACTCTGCCAACTGCCCCTTGATCAATACCTCTTTCCTCTCCTAAACGTATTACTACTACAAGCAATAGTGATACAGCAGAATTCTCAGGCTCCTCTACCTTACAAATACTACTACCTCATTGGCTCTGGCAACCTTCCACTCTGATCCCCCTGGCTACTCCTATCAATAATCAACTACCTACAGCACCTTTTGAGATTGTTTTATGCAATCCAAATCCTTAATCTCTGTTTCTTCCTGGTACTCTTTTTATTCTCTTATCCTTCTCCTTTTCCTACAGTTCTTGGTCAATTTTCTTTCTTCATTATCAATTTTCAATACTGAACTCTATATTGTACTCCTGATCTGTTGATCTCTTTTGTTTCACTCAATTTGGTTTAGAATTGGTTGAATTGTCATGTTTTCTGTGAAGGGATCCCTGTTGCCCGCTTCATAGTGATGACCTGCTTCACAGTTGGGTATGTTAGGACTTTTTGTCTGATACCTCTCCATGGCACTGCCTGCAGAGCCAGAGGAACTGCAACCACCTTTCTAGGTACCTCGGGGTTTGTAATGCGGGGTTGCATTTCATTTGTAATTGCATTGAAATTAACGCTTTTTGTCTACATAGCATGAATTACATGCATAATACTGAGCCTCAATCAATAAACATATGAATAAAGAAATAAAAAATAAAAATAAAATATAGTATGGACATGGGATATGGGCCAGCCAGGAATTCGAGACTACTGGCTGTTCTTGCCCTCACACGCAATAAAAGAATTAGTTTGGCTTGGGTATTGCTCTAATAAGCAGGAAGCCTAGACACCATTGATCCTTGGCTGTCTGGTCACCCACGTCCATACTAGAGTATGATCTTGGTGACAAAATTCGCTGACCCCCCCCCCCATTATACACCAAAAGTGGCTGATTTCATGCAACCACAGCTCATCCAAAAGCAATAGAGAACTGATGAAATTAATACCATAATGTAGGATATTACCTAGGCTTTGTGAGAAAAATTTATCAGAATTTTCACCCTTTACAATAATGGCTGGGAGCTTAGTGTCCAGCTTGAATATAGTTGCAATGTACCTTTTGTATGGGAACCTCATACAAAATTGGAAGTACCTTTGGACCACTCTCATGCTTTAGAGAATTGTACCATAAGCAATTATTAACACAGCTTGATACTCAAGGGCAGTAATATCGAGATGTCACTAAGAATGCTAGTGAATTTTCTGATTTTTTGCAGAGAGACAAAGCTGTGATTTTGCAAAGCGAAAACACCTATTTTTGGTGTGAAATAGGGGGGGGGGGTCAACGAATTTTGTCGCCAAGCTCGTACTTTGGAACTACACACGAAACATTACTCTCATGTGTACGAGGCTGGCGCCAAAAATGATGAGCAGCAACCGTGCAAATTATTCACCATCGCAACCACCTACCAATACGTTAAAAAATGAATACCCCACCACGGCAGCCCCCAATGGGTGAATGGACGACACCGACACGAACTAGAGTAACAAGGAACGCCACAAATCGTCATGCTTGGGCGAAGGAAATGCGTACAGTTTATGTGTTGAGTATAAGAAAAAGCAATAAAACAGAACATGATTAATATGAAAAGGTATTATGAACAGGAGTAGAAGGAAAATATCAAGCATTATTTAAACTAGCCAATCTAACCTCTTCAGCCAATCTTTGAATCATATTTTGGCCTTCTCTGATCCTATTCACTCTGTCAAAGGGTACAGTAGTAATAAATGCAAGATCAGCAATTCGTCTTACTCTACTTATTGCCACAAAAGTCAATCCATTTACCATCTCTCGTTTACCTAATTCAATTACTGCTTTATCCAGAGTCAATCCCTGAGACTTCTGCACAGTCATAGCCCCTGCAAGTGTGATAGGAAATTGCTTTCTGCTACAATTATAGCCTTGATAATTAAAAAATGAAACTGATGGAGGAATTGGTACTACCTTAGGAGCAGATTCCAGAAATGGTGGGCCTGTATAGGAATCTATTTCCACCAATAAAAATTTCGGTAAGTCATCATCCACAGCTTGGTTTTGCCATACGATTCCACGAAGAGTTCCTAGTGATCCATTAACAATACCATGTTGAGTCCAAAGATTTCGTCTTATCATTAATCTTGCTCCAATTGCAAGACGGAGATGTTGCTGTAGTTCTCCTGTCTCATCAGCTGGCACTCTACTTAATACTCCAGCAACTGGATGTCCAAGATTCTTTGCTTCAAGACTTGCTATTGGCTGACCCATAGATCATAGTTTATATGAGTTGTATTCTGTTACTTCGAAATTTGTAGGATAAAGACGAGTGACATTCTGAAAGGAATCTTGTTCCCACTGTGGTAAATTTAAAAGTGTCCGAGCACTTATCAATAGCTGCCAGAATTCAGTGGTCCATAAACCATTTCGTGCTGCTATTAGGATTTCCCGAAATTGAGACTGGGAATTGTTACTTCCATTTTGTTGTACAATCTATAGCATTATTTAATTAGAATTAGAAAATTCACTTTAAACATAACAGAAATAACTTGTAATATGAAACTTACCTGATGTAAGTTGTAGGCTTTAGTAAACATTCGGTATAAAGAGAATCCCTGAATTGCTAGCAGTGATGAATTTGAATTTGGTGAACAGTACATTGGCCTTCCACCAACTGGGGGAAGTTGAGCAAAATCACCGATTAGAATAATACTGCAACCACCAAAAGGCTGACAGCTATTTTGGGGAAATATTTGCCTCAAGCGGTTATCAATACGTGCAAGAAGAGTAGAACTAATCATTGACATCTCATCAACTATAATATAGCGAATATACTGAAGTTTAAGTTGTAATTCCAGTAAGCGGGCTGGAGTTAATACAGGGTCATTCTCTTTTAACCCAAGTTGTATTAATGAATGTAGAGTAACTCCATTAATATTAAAAGCTGCAACACCAGTAAAAGCTGTAACACAGAGTATAGAATATGAATCTGCTTCTCTATTCATTCTGTTTAGACTTGTATTAATTGCATGAATTGTATAGCTTTTTCCACTTCCTGCTATTCCTGAAACAATCATTAGAAGTGGTTTTACTGGTATTCTTTCATTGATTTCCAATTCTAGTTGTGCTTGACATTCTAGAAAGTGTTCAATAACTGAATCATGAACTTGTCGTTGTTCTTGATTAAGTGTTGAATAGTCAACAGTAATTGACTCATTGGTATATAGTGCCTGAATACCTTCTTGACATCTTCTTGTAATAAATGTTTCACCCTCAGTCATGGCAGTCAGGCCTCCATACTTTTCAAGATCTTGGTTCCAATTATATCCTGCTTGAATATTCTCATAATTATTTAAGAGATGTGGATTATTCTCCTCATCAGTATTATAACTATTTCGTCCTTCTTCAAGATTCCCTGAATCTATGTCTTCTGGTAAAGCAAACTTGTAAGCTCCAGCATCTTCCCAATCCCCAAGAGCAGCAGGTTGGATAGCCTGATTTTGTAGTCTTTCTTCTGCTGAATCAAGTTGGAAGAGCTCTAGCCAATCCCCATGCTCCATATTTTCCATTAAATCAACCTGCTAATTTTATATTTAGTATTGAAAACTATATAAAAATAATTATTATTGAAATTCTCATACCTCTGTTTGGCCTCCAATAGCAGTAGTATCTGAGTCCTGGCTTTGCAAATTTGATTCCGAATTGGATATCCATGAAAGGCAACTCCTTAATTCAGGATCTATTGACTCCCACAGTTGGTTCAGTCTCATAATCCAGTCAACATTTTCAATATCATTTCTACCTGCAAGTTCCTCTTGACTCAGAAATGGGTAATTCATATAGAGAAATACCTTATACCATTCTGGTGAATTTCGATCAGGTATAGGATTTGGCTATGGCCGTAATATACGTGATTTTGACCGGGAGAGTTGTAAGGGCTTCCAGTAAAATTGTCCAGGTTGTGGTACTATCCCTTTTGCTCGTAGTTCAGCCGTTGATAATAAGATAGCCATTGTATTCAACTGTGCTAGTGTCCATGATTGAAAGTTGTTTAATTGAGGATCTGTAAAACACCGTCCTATGTAGCAAGTAAGGGATGTTTTTGCTCCTTCAATAGGCTCATCATCACTTGCATCCAATATATTTCTTGGAAGTATTATAGATTCTGTATTACGCAAATCAATCGTAATGATCTTGAAGCTCGAAATGACAAGACTATGTCCTGCTAAAATATGGCAGGCCTCTTGTGCTGAAATGTCACGCAAAACTGGAAATTTTGATAACATCTTTTTAAATAATTGTAAAACTGAAGAGTCATCATCTACAGTCAAAGCAGCAGCCCTTAACATCTCACATAAATCAGTTGAAGCTGTTTCCTGTTTACTAGCATATTTTGCTAAGTAATTGATTGCTGCATTCACTGATATAACTGGTTGAGTATCACAATTAGCATGCCAGTGTTAAGAATCCTACCGGGTAGGATCTAGCAACAGGTAACGATACTTCTCTTGAACAGTGATAGTTCTCAGGCCTATGCCTACGCGATTCCGATAGTCCAGTCCTTTGACTACTATCGTATTCGCGCCTATCTTTATATTCTTCCTGTTAGTCCTCACTTAGGACTTAATCTCTTCTCCTGAGAGGAAAGACACTTCTCGGGTTTCTTAAGATAAATCTTAAAGAGCGTAAAGGTAGGTTTTATTGATAATAACTTAAAGGTAGGAAATAAACAAGAAGAACGTGTGAAGAGCTAATACTAGGGGTCCTACTGACCCTTTATATAGTAGCTCTTCACCTGGCGTGACTCATACTTATGCGTCACGCGAACTTTGTGACTCATAACTATGAGTCGTGCGAAATCCATCAGCCGACTCCTATGAGTCGCTGCGCAACATGCCTAAGCCAATCAAAACCATAATAACCAAGTCAAGTGCGCAACTCACGTCACCTGAGTGAAACCCATGACTCACAAATGTGAGTCATGTGCGAAAATCATAACATCGTGTGACTCACAACTGTGAGTCACGAACAGGTAAACATAATAACCTATGGCACACTAGTATGCGTCATGTGAAATCCCAACATACCTATAACTCGGAAATACGAGCTATGTGAAATCTGCCTTGCTTAGTCACAGTTTGTGACATTAGCTCCCCTCTCCCTCAGCCCGAGTCCCATCGGGCTTATAACAGTCTATCCTCCAATCCTCCCCATGCCATTGCTGGTAGTCCCCACTTGGCTTCCTTGTTCAACCAAGTGCTGACTTTCCGTACTCTCGTCAGGGCCCTTTCCACCTCCTTCTCTTCCCTCCTCCAATCGTTTTGGAGTGCCTTCCTTATTCTCGTTTTCTCCCTTAACTCGCTCTGGAGTTGTCCTATTTTTTCCGCTTGCCATTCCAACAATTTCTTCTTCTCCTCCGCTTCCGCCAACAATTTCATTACCGTCGTCTCTGGTTTTTCCATCTCTTCTTCCCACGTGACGTGCCTCGTCCTCCTGGGCTTTGCCCATTTTTGTTTTATCGCCCCCCTCCTCCTTGACTCCGTCCTCAGAGTCGGTTGTATGTATTGGACCAGAGCTACTGGCTCTGGGGTGGGGGATCTCGTTGGTGATCCCAGAGGTGAGGTCTTGGGTGGCCATCGGTTCGTCTCCCGAGGCCAATATCCTGGACCCTCCTTGTCTGTCCAGTGTACTTGGCACTCGTCGTTGTAGCAACCTGTCCATGACAGGTTCGCGTGTTCCCTTTCGGGTGTTGTAGTTTTCCTCAGGTTGAGGTCTACTAGGTTGGTCCAATCTTCGTTGCTCAGCTCCTCCTTGCTTGGAGCTGGCTGTGGAGTGGGGGTTCGGTATCCCGGGCTTGTTGGTGTGATGTGTTTGAACGCTTCTCGTTCCGGTTCGGTCTGGAGTGATGCTTTCAACGGTATCGTTTCCATTTTTATCTGAGGCTGATGCCAGGAGTAGGTGTCTGTTCTGTGTAGTGGCGGGGCCAGATATTCGGATTCGGGTGCGTCTTCCACTGTTGGTTGACGGCTTGTTGGGGTATCGTTGATGGAATTGATTGTCTGCATTTTGCACGTGATCAAAGTTCTCGGCTGGGTACCAAGTCTTATCGTGTTCTGGGGAGTATCCAGTCCACTTTCCCACGGTATTGCAAGCGACCGTAGTGTGGTCGAGAGTCGATGATTGCTTCAAGTTCGTATTCTGATTCACCGTTTATCTCAATAGGCGGTGGTGGGGGTTTTTCTTGGTATCGTAGAGGATTGTTTTGATAGAGTTCGAGGAGGCTGATGTGGAAGGTGTTGTGTATTTTCATTGATAGTGGGAGGTCAAGCTTATAAGCGCAGCTTCCTATTTTTGCCAATATCTTGAATGGTCCTATTTTCTCGTAATCCAGTTTCTTTGTCGGTCGCGTGGTTCGGATGTTGCGTGGTAGTAACCAAACCATATCTCCTGATTTTAGGTTTGGATCGGGTTTTCTGTGGCGATCGTAATCTTCTTTTTGTCGTAATTGCGCTGTTACCATTTCGTTTCGTAATGTGTCGTGTAGTTGACTCATATCCTTTTTATCCGTTATCTTTCCTTGGAGCATATGACCTATGCTTTCGTATTCAGGGTGTGTGCCGTAATTTGCGAAGAAAGGAGTTGTTTTGATTGTTTCTTGTTTTCCCTTGTTGTAGGCGAACTCGGCTAGTGGTAACCAGTCGTACCAATCATCTTGTTGGTAGTTGACGTATGCTCGAAGGTATTGTTCCAGTATGCCATTAATTCTTTCCGTTTGTCCATCCGTCTGGGGGTGGAAGGCTGTGCTCATTCGTCGCTCGATTCCCAATTTTTCCGTTGTTTCCTTCCACACTTCAGAAGTAAATAGTGATCCTCTGTCGCTAATGATGTCTTTGGGTAACCCGTGTAGGCAGTATATTTCTTTTAGAAATACGGTTGCAAACTCCCGTGCCGTCATATCTGTTTTGCATGGTATGAAGTGACTCATTTTGGTCAAGCGATCAACTACCACTAGTATGGCGTCATGATCGTTTGACTTGGGTAATTCGGTTATAAAGTCTAAGGATATAGACTTCCATGGTTTTTCTGGGGCCTCGTTTGGTTTGAGTAATCCGTAAGGTGCGTGTCGTACCACTTTGATTCTTTGGCATGTGTCGCAATTCTTGACATATCGTTTGATGTCTTCTCTTATCTTGGGCCAATAATATCTTCGGTTGATGAATTCGGTAGTTTTGGCGGTTCCTCCATGCCCGGCATATGGGGGGTCGTGATGGTGTCGTATGATCTCTGTGCGTAGTTCTTCTTTATCCGGTATCCATATTTTCCCATCGTACCACAAGTATTCATCCTTCCATTCACATAATCCTAGGGCTATGCCTTTGATTTCCTTTGTGCCGGCCTCTAGTTCCTTCTTTATCTTTTGACATTCGTCATCTTGCTGGCTTTCCTTCCTGATATCTTCTTCCAGTGTCATTCTTGTATTGATTTCGTTCAGTGATTCGTATCCACTGTCTTCTTCTTCCAATTGGAAATATTTTTCCTTTGGTAATAGTATTTGTTGCCTTTGTTTGATTCTCTCATCCTCTGGGGTATTTGGTTTGTCATTTGACCTTCGAGTCAATGCATCTGGTTTTCCTCCTTCTTTTCCTGGACGGTATTCGATTTTGAAGTTGTAAGTGCTGAGTTTTTCCATCCATCTTATTTGTCGTCCATTTAGTTCCTTCAGGGTCATGAAGGGTACTAAGTTTTTGTGGTCGGTTAGAATTTTAACTGATGCATTGTTGTTTTGAGCGTATCTTCTCCATTCCTTCAGGGCCTGAACTATTGCCAATAGTTCCTTATCGTGAACATCATAGTTGCATTCTGCTGCGGTCATTGTCTTGGATCGGAATGCTACTAGCCTCCATTTGCCGTCTTCACATTTCTGAGATATTATGCCCGAGCATACATATTTGGATGCGTCCGTTTCAATCATAGTTTCTCTTTCGGGATTGAAATGTACCAAGATTGGTCCTTGGGTGATCTTGGTTCTTAATTCGTCAAAAGCCTCCTTTTCCTTAGGTCCCTAATTCCATTTGATGTCTTTCTTGGTCAGGTTGTATAGTGGTTTAGCAGTTCTGCTAAATCCTTCTATAAACCTTCGGTAGAAATTGCAGAATCCCATAAAACATTGTATATCCGTTTTATTTTTTGGGTACTCCCATTCCCATATCGCTTT